TTCAGTTGCTTTGACACAATCTGTATTGGACTTGACTTGGCATGAACAGACTTGACTTGACTTGACTTGACTTGGCATGAACAGACTTGACTTGACTTGACTTGACTTGGCATGAACAGACTTGACTTGACTTGACTTGACTTGGCATGAACAGACTTGACGAGGCATGAACAGACTAGACTCACCGACAGCGGGTTACAACATCAATACACGACGACAGACAATGGCAACATGATGGCTACTTATAGCAAACAAGAGGGTCACATGACAAGAACAAACCAATGGGAAACAAGACACATGACTAGGACAACCAATCAGAATATGACACATACACGAGGCAGAGATACATGAGGGCAAGGGAAGCATGACATTAACAGGGTGAAACAATTGCAAAATAAAAGACATGAAAACATGAACATGACAAAACCCAACCACCACATTACAAGTATTAGAAAGTGTTTTACAAGAGAATACTATTTCAGTCAGTTTAATTCAGTGCATTGTTTGCCTTTTTAAATTATTTGTGAATTTTACTGGCAGCTTATGAGTCAGAATTGTTTCAAATTAAATCCCTTTTCCTCTTTTGTGATCTGTCATGTTCCTTGTTTTTATAATTATGTGCAAGCATTTTTACATGTTGATCCTCTTATCACCACCAGGGGCCCCCCTGACATCAGCAGTCTGGTTCCAGTAGGTCCCAAGTACACCCTGAAGTGGAGCGACACATTGCAGCAGGTCCAGGTAGTTGAAGTGGGTCAAGAGGGCTCCCAGACCAAGGACACTCTCTATCAGCTCAGAGGCGTCAAGCGCTCAGGCGGCTCTTCGGGATCGGGTAATGGCAACTTTGTTGCCACCGCTACTTTCTAAACAATCAGATAACACACATCCTTGATGTGAGTCTCCAAGACATTTTGAATTAATTGACCGTTTCTTGTGAGCAATGCACCTTTTATGGCCTCTGCAGATGAGTGTATCTCAGGCAGGGTAGATAAGAACAACAGAGGCGCACTCTAAGCAATCTTATTTCACTGTCTGATAGACCACAAACATATTCAGCGTGCTGTCATCAGTTTTGGCGCATTATTTCCACCTCCACTCCCAATCAGAGAAAGCAAGTTCAGGAGATTGGAATCAGGGCTGAACACTCTTACAAAACATTATTGTGTTTTGAGTTAGAAGACGAGGAAGAGGAAAAGAGCAATTGTGGGGCACTAAGATAAATATGCTGACAGAGCTCCAGGTACAAAGTGTTATCAGGATGTACAGGTTCTGGCTGTTTAAGCCTTTTGCTTTCCGAGCTGAAATATTAATGTTGTCGTCTATGGAACACCCATGTTGGATTGTGCACACAGGGGAGCCAGGAAATTAGATGACAGAAGATGTTTAATGCTGGGGCCTAGCAGACAGCTCGCGGGCAGGAGTTGTAGAAGACCTATTATGGCCCCTATACCTTATTTCTCTCTGAAATCATTATAAAACAGTGTTCGGTCCAATTTATCTACCTTTGTTCTTTTCCTGCTGTTTTATAACTCAGCAGTAGCCTCCCTAAAACTTCCTATTTCTCATTTCCATATCCCTCAATTCAGTTTAAAGTACTGGCATGATTGTTTGACATGAAATATTGCCAAATAAGCAATACAAGAAATAAAAAATAGTGACAGGATAAAATATATAGTAAATATTTAAGAAATGTTTTTGTTTTATTTTATTAATATAAAGGCTGTATTTTTCTATACACTGCCATTCAAAAGTTAGCAGCCAGTAAGATTTTTTTTTAAAGAAGATTAACACTTTTCTTCAGCAAAGATGCATTAAACTGTCAAGATAACTGTAAAGACATTTATAATGTTACAAAAAAGTGCTGTTCTTTTGAGCTTTTTATTCATCAAATAACCTTCTATTCATCAAAGAATTTCCATTTAACAAAACAATCATTTTCCACAAAAAGTTTAGGCAGCACAACTGTTTTCAACATTGATAATAATAAGAAATGTTTCTTGAGCAGCAAATCAGCATATTAGAATGATTTTTGAAGGATTATGTGATAATAGTAACGGCTACTGAAAATTCAGCCTTGCCATCACAGGAATAAATTACGTTTTAAAATATATTAAAATAGAAAACAGCTATTTTAAATTATTGATACTGTTTCACAATATTACTGTTTTATTGTATTTTTTATCAAATAAATGCAGCTTTGGTGAGACTTTCAGAAACATTCAAAAATTGTAATGATCCCAAACTTTTGAAAAGTAGTGTATCTTTACAGTATTTTATTTTATTTTATTTAAAAACAAATAATAATAACAGTATAAAATAAAATAAAATGTGGAATATGTTTTTGTTTTCTACATACATCTCTCTTATATATCTAAAATGGTCACAGTGAAGGATAAGTTCTCACCAGTCTCATAGTGTGCCACAGAATTTTCCTTCTTTTCAAGCCTTTTTCTGTGGCTAGACTGGTCACAGAGTCTGTACTTGGTGAGGATCCGTTTCAGTATCTCTTACTGTGTAGAGATAAACGGCAGACTGTGTCGCTCTCTTCTCTTACTCTATTCAGGAAGCTCTTTGCACTGTTAGCACACACTTCTGGTTATGTAACAAGAAGTTGCCACTTTAATCACTATTTTCCAGACACCTTTGACGTAGTCTGGTTCACTGTGTCTGAATGTGTCCATCTTCAGCTATTTATAGCAGCACATAGACATACAAGCCTGTTTTGCCTGGTCCGCGCCACATCTCTCCTCCCTTGTGATGTCACTCCATGGGGCTCCTCGTCCAAACCAGATCCTATGCTCCCCCAGCGTACCTTAAAATGGACTAATTTTTCATCTCCTGCAGGCCCTAGTGCCCTAATTTATTGATGGAATAGACCAACATTCCAGGAAAAGGCAGACCGTCTGCTGCTGCCACTGTAAAGCAGCACAAAACAGTGGCATGCTTCAAATCATAGAGGCCCCTGTGAACCATGAGATGGGACCTGCCCACTGATGGGGGAGCTATACACAAGCACTTGTATTGGGGGGGTGAGAATGTATTCCTAATGGAGACATACTGTACTGTATAGTGATGTTATACTCTGACATAATTTTATCTTTATTTATCCTGCTGGAAAATTCTGCTTCTAGACTTCTGCCATTTAGACAAAGTAAATATGTGGACGTCAATGAGTAATATAAGAAAAAAGGGCTGTTCACACCAAGAACGAGAAGTCCCACACCACAACTATAACGATAAAGACACAGAGAAACAATATCGTTGGAATTACTTTCAAAACGATTTTTCTCCAGCTGATGAATGATAAAAATTGACAGCCTATCATAATCAGTCCTGCTGTAACAAGCTCGAAAATTTCAAGCAGCAGACAAGTATGCACTTAGAATAAATGGACAATATCGTCCGCTGGTGTGGACACTAATATAGTTATCTTTATAGTTATCGTTCTTGGTGTGAACGACATTTATTATTATTATTATTATTATTATCCAGTTCTCACTATTAACTAAACATTAACTACGATTTTGCATCAATAAACTCCTAATTTGCCTCTTATTAATAGTTAGTAAAGTAGTTGTTAGGTATTGGGTAGGATTAGGGATGTCGAATATGGTCATGCAGAATATGTGCTTTATGAGCACTAATAAACAGCAATAAATAAAATAAATAATTACAATAAATTAACTATAAAATGTTAATAATAGGCATGCTAATAAGGAACTAGTTAATAGTGAGAAATTAGTCCCCAAACTGAAGTGCTACTGATTTTTTATCCTTTTTTTATTTTAATTGAATTTTTTTAAAGACAGAGGCACAAATTTGTTCAGTAAACCACTGTTTAATAAAAAAAGGAAAAAAAAACTGTACTGAACCATGACTTCGACACTGAGGTATGTACCAAACTGTCCTTTTTGTGTACACCCCTATTATTACATGAGCATAAATGTTTATATAATTATTAATTTATTGAATTGATTGAAAATTCAATTAATTAGCCACCTTCAACATCGAAATGCATTTTTTAAATTAATTAATGAGTTAAAATGTTCACTGGGTTTTGGTATATTTACTTTGATTAAATATTATAAAGACAAACCGTTTTAAGAATGTAAACAGGGTAAGTCTATAGGCCAGAGCTTATATGTGCCAGATGTTTTTTTGGGGGTTTTTTTGCATCCAAGAATTACATATTGCCATGATTTTCTTTCTTTTTTACCAGTATGACAATACGTACTATGAATGTCATATATGTCAGCATTACTCCAGTGCATCTTTCACTTGTATTTTGAGACATAACATGATTGTGAGCTGTAGCACAGTGCCCCATGTCCTTGCAGGAAGCTCTGGCAGCCTGACACCATTATTATTATTATTATTATTATTAGATTGTTGTAAAAATCTATATTATAATGTATCTAATATAATGTTAATAAATATATAATATAATATATATTTTTAGACTATTATTCTAGGCTGTTATTATTATTAATAATTATAATAATAATAATTATTATTATTAGAAGAACAAGAAAATAACATTATGTATTATTTATTTATATTGTTTTAAGATAAATTATGATAATAATAATCATTTGTTATTATTGTTGTTGTTTTTATAAAAAATAATTATCATGATATTCTAAATATTGTTTTTATATAATTTTTTACTTGCTGTATTTTTTATATGAATTGTGCATATTTTGATTGATAAAATATCTACATTTAATAGCTACATTTATATTTATATGTTTACTTTGTAGTTTTAATTTGGCATCACACTATGGTCTCTGGACGTTATCACAGTATTGTTTCCTCAGCGGCCATGCACATCATTTTTAGATTTGTTTAAATGTGCCAGACAGATCCTTGCTAAAATTATACACGTAAAAGCACTCTGTTAAACTCGGTGTATTGATGTTGGTTAAAGAGCACAGATTTGAATGAGAAATCCAAATTTGAGCTGCCCTTCTGGCAACAGCTTTGTTGACTTTAGGCTTTGGACTTCCGTATTGTGCCTGCATAGGCCTCCGCTGGCGGCCGCCCAGCGCGTGTGTCAGTTTACATATGACAATGTGTGTGAGAGAGATAGACTAGTGGAAATGGCAGATTACCATGCCATAGTGCGAAAAACCAGATCCCGGCACACCAACTGGATTAGTCTGGATTACAAGTCAGCACATTCACCTGAGGCCAAGGTGGGCCACGAGCCCACAAACCTGTAGGCCCGCCCAAGGCCTTGCCACAGCAACCAGAAGAGCACGTCGACTCTGCCAGCTTGCGCTGTAGGGGCTCACTGTGCCTTTTTTTTATTCAAATGTGCCTGCTATTGATCAAGCTGTGCCAGTGACAGATGTCTCTGTGGCTGTGTGAGTTGAAGACCCTATTCAATTTCTAAAGGTTAGAGAGAGAAAGACAAAACAATGAGAGAAATAAGTAGAGGTGTAGAGAGAAGTGGATGGAAGCCTAGACAGAGGGTGAAAGTCACAAAGACAGGTATAGAGAACCGAGAGAGAGGGAAATGGTGTGTCAGAGACCGAGAGAGATCTCTGACAGACCTTCCAGCACTACTTCGAGAATTAGGTTGAGCTGGGGGCCAACAAATGCCCGCGCTGCCCCAATTCTGCACACAGGTCACCTGATTATGTGGAGGTGCTGAAAGGCCAGACAGTCCTGCGGTCTGCCCATCCAGCTCCAGGATTTAATTACACTCATTCCTGGGCTATCGGTCGGACGCGTAGAGCACATTCCCCCCGGCTATTGATTCTGCAGGCAGAGACCGGAGACCGCAAAAATGTGAATGGGGATTCAAATCGATGGTGTCTTGGTGGCACCTGCGTTCGTTTCGTCACCCTTAAAGGGCTTCATATTTCTAAATGGCTTAATTTTATACTCTGCTTCTCTTCCCTATAGCATTAACCGGTGTGGCTACACAAACAATGGGAGATCGATCTGTCTTCGGTATCGATTCTCTTTGTTAGTGGCGCTACTGGAGAGTATTGACAAATGAAAGTTTTGTCATAGACCCCAAGTCTTTAAAAGTTAAGGCGTTTGATTTTGTTTCGATTTGCATTTGGGCAAATATTCAAGCAGAACTTAGAGCAGTGTTCCCCAACATTTTTTCTGCCGCGGCACAGTTTTGACAAGTAAAAAATCCCACGGCACACTACTAAGCACTTAAAAAAAAAAAAAAATAGAAGGGGGGAAAGTTTTTTTTCCCCAATAATTAAACAATGCGTCGTCAGAGTTGGTATTTTGGCTTTATATATGACCAGACACTTGGACTTAACATTTTCTGAAAATCATGCTCAAATGGAGTTAACGAGGTTTTTGACGAGCGAATGACAGGTGTTTTGTCTGTCATTAGAACGGGGCAGATCTGAGGCAGTAAATTACGTTTTCATCAATTTACACTTACAGGTTATAAAGTGTAGCTATACAGGCGCACAGTTTTTCTTGTTGTTTAATACATATTTGAAACGTACAAAAGTATATTGGCTACAAGTAGACGGCAAATGTTAAGACTCTTCTCCACTCTTCAAACACACAGAAACATTAACATAGTCTTTATAGACTGTTTCTTGAGTAAAAAAAAATGCTGTACTTATTCAAACATCAGTTTACGGGACTTTATTTACCGAGCCGTCCTGACTCGATTACATATTCGAATGATTCAGCACCTTTACGGGAACCCATATCCACAGAAATACCATCTCAGCTTTCAAGAACCCTGGATTGCAGGTGCTTTTTGCACTCCGAGGTTCATGCTCTGATAAAGCATGGTGTGAAATGTAAGTACTGGATAAGTGAAGCTGGTTATTTTTGATTGACAGGAAGTGTCTTTCTGGGTCCGTCCCGTCTGTATCAGGAACTGCAGGAGTTGCAGCATGACCTCTCAGTGGTAGAGCAGGTCACTCTGCTTGTGGGGACTTTACAGGGAACGTACCAGGTAAATACTCTTCATTACTACATGTACGGTGGGCCATGATGTCTTTGAACCCTTAAGTGGGAACTTGAAGGGAACTGATGTTATACATTAAAAATCACCATTGGGCGCAGTTAGTTAAAAGAAATTGTAAAAATGGCTCATAAACTGAAGTTTGTGATAAATAAATAAATATATAAAAAAAATACATTTCATATGTTTTAAATATATGTGACCCCGGACCACAAAACCAGTTATAAGGGTCAATTTTTTTAAATTGAGTTTTACATATCATCTGAAAGCTGAATATATAAGCTTTCCACTGATGTATGGTTTGTTAGGATAGGACAATATTTGGTCGAGATACAACTATTTAAAAAATCCTGAATCTGAGGGTGCAAAAAAATCTAAATATTGAGAAAATCACCTTTAAAGTTGTCCAAATTAAATCCTTAGCAATGTATATTACCAATCAAAAATTAAGATTTAAAGGAGTCGTATGACGTTGCTAAAAAGAACATTATGTTGTGTATTTGGTGTGATGCAATGTGTTTATGCGATTTAAGGTTAAAAAAACACATTATTTTCCACATAATGTACATTATTGTTGCTCCTCTATGCCCCGCCTTTCTGAAACGCGTTTTACAAAGCTCATCTGTCTGAAAAGCGAAGCAGATATCGTACTCTTTTGGAAGGCCAAACAAAGTAGTTTCGCTTTCACAACGAAACACACAGCATCTCCACAACATGGCGGCGGCAACAACAATACCACAGCGAGAATAAAAGTTACGCCTTCTTTCTTTGCGTGAACATTTGGGCTGTGTTAAGAGAAAGGAAAAATTGAAATTGCATTATATGACCCCTTTAATATATTTACAGTAGGAAATTTACAAAATATCTTCATGGAACGTGATCTTTACTTAATATTCTAATGATTTTTGACCCATACATTGTATTGTTGGCTAATATACTCATGATACTTATGACTGGTTTTGTGTTCCAGGGTTACATATAATGTATATGTATAATGCATACTTGGGTCAGTGGATTTTTTTGTTTTTGAAAGGAATTGAATTAACTTTTTTTATTTTAATATATCATGAAGTGTAATTAATTCCTGTGATGCAAAAATAAATTTTCAGCATTATTAATCCAGTGTCACATGATCCTTCAGAAATTGTTAATATGCTGATTTATGATAATATTTATTATTATTATGTTGTGCTGCTTAATATTTTTGTGAAAACGGTGATACATTTTTTCAGGACTCTTGAAAAAATGAATAGAAAATTCAAGGGAACAGCATTTATTTGAAACAGAAATATTTGTAGCATTATAAATGTCTTTACTGTCATCAATTTAATATGTCCTTGCTGAATAAAAGTTCCAGTTTCTTTAAAAAAAAAAAGAAAAAAAGAAAAGAAAAAACTGAACCTAACTGACCCAAAGCATTTGAATGGTATTGTAAGTTAATGTGTATATTCACTTACATATATGAATTTTAAAAATAAGATCAGATGTGTTTTTGAATAAATAAACAGAATTTTGATTATGAAAATGCCCAAGTGTCCAAGAATGATGAAAAGAACAACATCCAGGAAAAGATCAAGGTAGAATACAATAAAAAGCAAAACAAAAGCAGTATTAGTCACATATGATACAGCCATCTAGGGATGGAAGCCTTTGGGGTAACAGAGTTTTCAACGTAATTAAATTGAGATCAAAGTTCGGCAACATCATCAATTGATTATCATGGCATCCGCTTGATAGTTGGACGACAACATGGGGAAACCTTCATAATCTGATCCGCCGGAGTTAATGTTTAGATGGGAGATAGCTCTGAACAGCATGTCTACATAGCACACGGCTGCTCTCAAATCAGGACAGCTCCCCTGATGGCTTGACAGTCACTAAACCAGTAGAAAAACAGCTAGATTGCTTCTTTTACATCTGAGTGTTAGTAACAGAGCTTTGTCTTGCATGGTTTCCTGACCATAACCATGCCATTGGCTTTTCTCCAAATGACTAATTCCTACCCACAATCTAATCAGAATATAAATGCGCAGCGAATAGAGAATGAATGAACTTCTTTAGACCTCATTGATTTTGGAGATGTATTTTATTTGGATTTGGCTTTTGGGAGGTATGAATAATTTTGTTTATGAGAAGGAAACCTTTATTATTTCATCAATACTTGGAGTCCAAAAACATAGTTAACATAACAACAAAAAACAATAAAGACTTCTACATTTAATATGATATGATGCAGTGGTTTTCACCTGGTCAGCTGTGCTAAATGCATATGATCAAAATTGACTTGCCAAATGTGGCAGTAAAGACATTTATGATTGTACAAAAAAATTATATTCCAAATACTGTAAATGCTGTTCATTTGAGCTATTTATTAATCAAAGAATCCTGAAAAAATGTACCATGGTTTCCACAAAAATATTAAGCAGCACAACAGTTAGAAACATTGATAATAAGAAAAAAAAAATGTTTCTTCAGCTCCAAATCAGAATATTAGAATGATTTCTGAAGAATCATGTGCCACCGAAGACTGGAGTAATGATGCAGAAAATTCTGATTTGCCATTAATTACACTTTATAATAAATTGTAAAACAAATATTTTAAATTGTAATGATATTTCACAATATTACAGTGTTCTGTATTCTTAGTTAAAAGTAGTTATTTTAGTTAAAATGCAGCTTTGGTGAGACTTTCAAAAACATTAGTGTAGTCATATTATATACTGTAGTTAGGATAGCCCCCCCAACAAAAAAATAAAAATAAATAAATGTTTTATATATATAAGGCTTGTGCGCAGTTCATTGTTTGATTTTCACAGCATTTTTATACAATATTGGTATAGTGTTGGGTCACCATTTAATGTCCAGTGTGAAATCAAGGTCTTAAAGCACATCCGTGTTGGCTGGGATCACAATTGTCTTTGTTTTCTGTGTTTATAGAATCTGAACACCACTGTTGCACAGGACTGGTGTTTGGCACTGCAAAGGCTGATCCGCATCAAGGAGGACCAAATTCAGAGCGCCAACAAGTGCCGTTTACGATTGCAAGTCCCTGGCAGACCAGACAAGTAAGTAAACGGGGCAAAAGCTTCTTTGCATGTTGACAAAGTGAATAATTTTTTTTTCAGCAGCCTCAACAAAATGCAAAAGAGCACATGCTGATGCATTCAGGTATTTGTTATAGCCAATTCAAAAGACACATTTTCCTCTTCTTGTTCGCCTGATAGATTGCATTTGCCTCAAGAAAGTAGTAAGTAGTAAGACATGTTGCTAAAAGGCTTTTGAGGTCTAAACAAGAAAAAACAATTTAGTCTCGATTACACCACAGCTGGATTTCAGACTGGCAGTCTTGCACATTCTCTGGAGCAGGTGATCCCAAGCGGCACTGAAACATAATGGCCGATGACAAACATGTTAATGTTCATCTGCAACAACGTTAAGATGATGAAGGAGCCCGGCGCCATGTTAATTTCCCCTAATGAAAGCGCATTACCCGGCTTTGTTTGCGGCGTGCGTTAAAAGCCTGCCCCATGTCACCTTTAACGAAGCCGAGCAGCAAATTACAAGCCTAATAGCATGAAGGGAAATCATTAAGTGATAGTTCTCAGATTCGGGAGATCAAGGAATGCTGGAGGTAAAGTTACACAGCTCCTTTCAGTCTGGGAAGTGCTACATTATGGCTAGTCATAGAGCTTATTCAATTCATTTAAAATCTGGGAGCTGCTGTTTCCCATTTGGAGCAGTAGTGTCATTTCTCTTTGATGCGTAGACAGGGGCTTTAATGTACTCTTATTATGTCACATTAAGAATCAGTGAATGTAAATGTGTCAAGGCAGAGGCTGCACATTTTTCACAGTGCACTGCACCTGAATGTGCTTATCGTAATGATGCAGAGTGAGAGTGGAAACTTCACTCATAGAATCGGCCGTGGAAGGAAGAGAAATGAAGACAGATTAGTAGAGGATTCAACTAAGAAAAGAGCTGAAGAGATGGGGAGAACATGAGAGAAGAGAAGCAGAGAGAAAGGGAAGATAAACTGTAAAGCATAGAGCAGTTGATGTTCATTTAAAGGTCCCATATTGTCAAAACTGAAATTTCCTGGCTTTTTTCACGATAACTGAGGTCTAGGGGCTATTTAACTACCATATAAGTTTCAAAACAGTCAGTCCACAGCAAAATGCACACAGCCTGCATAAAGTAGCTGTGATTTTTCATGAACCGTTGTGACTTTGTAAAAAGTTGACGTCAGAACTACACAGTCAGCGCCTTCAGTCACCACCCCGAGCACCGTCCACTGTCCCACTCTCCTTTTGCCAAACCCCCAGACAACATCGCGTCCATGCTATTGCTGAGCAAGGACAACACGGAAACATGTCGAAAAGGTTAACTTTAACCACGAAACCAGATCGGCCGACCTGTAACGTTACACTCTCACTCAAAGGATGGATGATCTGACAGGATTGTTACTATGAGGTGGATCACATCTAACGTGTATAGTAAAGACAAACTCACCGTGTCTATCTAGTCATGATGAAGATGTATATACATTTCAATTTCAGCAGGCAACTATTTTTACAGCTACATTATTGTTCCAGCCACAATTAATCACAACAATGTATATACAATTACAAATGATTATATATAAATCATCAGTTTGTTGTTTTACACACATGCACACAGACATTATTTCATACACGACATAGTCGTGAGATGCAAGAAACATATGGCAAGAAATCTGTAGACGCACCCATAACAACAAAAGACAATACTTTACTGA